AAAAGAGGTGGTGGAATATTTGATCCGTCAAGGTGCTGCCTGCGATATTGCAGATATTCAAGGCAATCGGCCGGTTCACTTTTGCGCCATTCGTTGCGATTACAAAATTTTGAAGCTTCTAGTTCTTGCAAAAGCCAACGTAAACGTTCAAAATGGGGAATTGAACACACCTCTCCACCTTGCGGCTATTTACCAGCGACCAAATTCAAAGGAGTGGGAGGATCTTATTTCTTTTTTACTAGATTCCGGTTGTGACCCTTCGCTGGAGAACGCTTCTCGTAAGAAGCCTTCGGATTTCGTCGGACGCAATTTGAAAAAACTTTTCTCAAGGGAGGGTGCAGAGATGCGTCGGAAAATAAAGGCACAAAAAGAAGCTGAGGAGGAGGAAGATTTCAGGAAATTGTTGGAGTTAAGGGGTAATTGGAAAACAACGGTCATGACAAACTTGGAAAGGACGAAGCGCATACTAAAAGATGAAGCTGACCGTTTGCACCGAGAGGCGGAGGAACGGCTTCGCGCTGAGGATGACGCACGGCTTCTTCTGGATGAGGCCATGGAGAGGCGACGATACCAAGAGGAGCAGAAGAAAAAGCGGCTGGAGTCTGAAGAAAAGAACAAAAATAGCAGCAGGAAGTAGTCGTGATTTATCACCGAGCTTTTTTTTTTTTCTTTTTTCCTTGTTTTCTTTTTTTTTGTTTTGCTGGTTTTGGCTGTCCGTGCCTCTTTTTACGCACTTTCCATTCTTATAATGTAAAGTACCACGTCGACCGAGGGATTTGCTCTCATATCCCCTATATATATATATTGAAGGAATGGGACTGCAGCTTTGGAGGAGTACCGCTGTATCCTTTAGATCTTTGTACTTTTAAAAATTGAAATGAAGGAGAATATATGTGTTCTGTTTCATTTCTTTATTATTATTATTATTATTATTATTATTATTATTATTATTATTTTGTGTGTTTCTTTTGGTTCCGTCATTATGATATTGTTTTTGCCTTCATCAACTCATTTTTGTGCTGTGGGCGATTAAAATATTTATAAGTGTGCGCTTGGCGTGCGGTAAATAGTGAGAACACGAAGGAGGGCGAAAGGGAGAATGAAAATGCCCACGAAGGAGCGTGACTTGGCCGGCACCGCGGCATTTGAGGTCGCTCTTCAGCACATTATGGTGAGACAGGATCGATCTTATCACTTTACTCAACTTTTGATGGCCGCCTGTTCATTGTTTTTTCTTTTGCAGACATGTTTTGTTTTTCTTTTTACCGTATTGTTGCCACTTTTGACAATTAAACCCGAGGGATTTCTGGCTTGTCTTTTAGAATACACATCTCCCACTGCCGGGGTTCTATCGGCGCTGTGTTTAGTACTACTACGTGCAGGAAACAAACGGTACGCAATTGAGCCTGGAGAACAACTTATGCGTCGAATTAATAAAGTTATATTGGAGCCTTGCTTAGGCATGCGTTTTGATTGCCTAACTGGAAAGCTAATGGCAGATGAAATATGGGCCGCCGATATGAATGTAAATGTCCAATCGGATTAAAACAGCTAGGCTTGAAATAATTCAGATCCATTTTATTTTTCTTATTTGTTGTTTTATCAGTTGTTGTGTACGCATCCCCATATATATATATAGATATATATAGATATATGGTTACTTATCCGCTCCTAAGTGTAATCTTTTTTTTTTTTTTTGCTTTGTATGCATATATTACTATTTGTATATATTTTTTTGTGTATAGAGTATGATTGTCTGCACGCATTGCAATTGTATGCTTTTTTTTTATTCTCAACTTTTACTTTTATTTTGTTTAATCTTTGAAAAAGTTCTTTTTGTTTAAATTTTTTTTTATCCGGGTAAGAATGCTGCGTGCCTTGTGGTTATGGGTTCTTTTGTTTTTTTTCTTCGCGACCAATCATGGTTTAGGACGACGCATTGTAGCTGTTGGAGATCTTCATGGAGATTTGAATCAAACGCTTTCTATACTCCACCTTGCGGGGCTGGTGAATAAGCGTCAGCATTGGATTGGAAAAGACACCTATTTTGTGCAGCTTGGCGACATCCTTGATGTTGGCCCAGATGACCTCATGATTGTGCGCCTGCTTATGAGGCTGGAGAAGGAGGCACAGGCAGAAGGTGGCGATGTTATTCAGATTCTTGGTAATCATGAGATTCGAAATCTTCTCGGAGACTTTAGTGCTGTGGACCCGGTAAGCCTTGCGCAATCTGGCGGGAAGGCCGGGCGCCGTGAGCTTCTCTCTAACAGAACTCCTTTGGGAATTTATCTTCGCACGCGAAGAGCCATATTTCACCACAAGGAATTTCTTTTCATGCATGGGGGCTTGTCGACGGCCACAGGAAACATGATAACTGGAATTAAGGCGGTGGAGAAGTTCAATAAGGCATTGCGTGACACACTGATCAACAATACACTGAGCCCTATGGGAAAGGTTGGAGTTAGCCTAAAAGAAAATAAAGTCAAGGAAGTTGCGAACCCTATTCTTGTCCGTTCTATTTTAAATGTTCGATGCTCCGAACTAAAAAAAGTTTTATCCAAAAAGTTTCATGGGATAAAATCGGTGGTGGTGGGTCATGTTCCGCATGATACGGACGATTTTTCCGATTGGCGTCTGTGTGGTGGACGCCTGATTGCGATTGATTTTGGCTTGAGTCGTTGGAAAAAGGGTGACCCTGGCCATGTGGCTGCACTTGAATGGGATGATGTTTCTGGACATGTTCAATTGATGGAATCCACCGGGAAATTCCTAAACTACGAACCAGATGTACATTCTCCCACGGAACACAACGTAAAACGTTTACTGCCTTTTATAAGATTGGCAGGCGCCGTCGTTTTTTTAGTTCTTCTTGTGGGCCTCCTTGGAAGATGGATTTGTTCAAGGGCAATTAATAACCCCCTTTCAGAAAAACAAGAAGGGAGCTACGGCTCTGTTGCTCCCTGTGTAACCCCCTAAAAAAAGCAAAAAAAACAAAAAAAAAACGGAAAAAGAAATCCTTTGAGCTAGATGCAATGAATCATCCCCACATGTAACAATGTTGGGACTTAGATCTTGGTGGAAAAGCATTGAAGAGCCATGGCGTGGGGAGAGGACAGATGTCAATGAGATATAGAGAGTGCCATATACATATATATATATCTGCATTTTTTAGTCACTGCTCTCATACACTTTCTTAATGGTTTTTGCTTCTATAATCATTTGTGTTGTAGCGAGGGTCCTGCCTTTTCCCAAATACGTCCTTGGGGGGTTTGCTGCACGCTATAAGCACGTTTAGAAGAAGTGTTAACGGTGATGAGGACTTTTCTATTACTTTTTCTCAGACTGGGATACCGGAATGTTACGCTTGTGATTTTTATTTATTTATTTTTTTGGCTTTATATGAATAAAGCGTGATTGAGCCCCAGGAAATTGATACATTTTTATCTTTTGTTATCCCCCACCCTTATTCCTGCCTCGTTCCTCCGTGGTGTCATGGAATGTGGGGGAGGGGGATGCTCAAAGAAGACGATCATTTGCGAGCTGCAAGCGGATATAAACTTTAAAAGTTAATTTGTATTGATGTGTTTGTTTTTGAGTTACACCATTTGTTGATATATATATATATATATATATATATCAAATGTTGACAAACACGTGTTGACAGTTTATTCTGCAGTGTTTTTTTTTTCTTTTGTGGATTCTTCTTGTTGAGTTGCTGCTGTCGAAGAAAATATCACATGCAAAAATGTGGGCAAAGTATTCTTCATCTGCCGTGGAGGAAGCAAGCAAACAAGCAAAAAGTTTCGCCACATATCCTTCCAGCACACCTGATATGTCAGGCGATGAGAAGGAAGCTTTCCATGAGACCAACTCGAGGGATGCATTTACAGTGGCGTTGCTGAAGCATGTAGCAAGGAATCTTGGCGTTCAGTACATGGGTGACCGTGTGGAGACGAGCGACAGTATCGTTATGGACAAACTGGGGCGTATAAAAGCTGAGATACGCTCACGGGAGCGTCTGTTGGGAGTAGAAAATATGGGCCTTATTCCACTTTTTATTGAGGCAGGCGATTCATCATTAACATGCGAAGATTCCCTTATTTATTACAAGAAGGCTCTGGATATTGTGGAGGCAAATAAAGACATTAAAAGAGACTCCAATATGATGAATGACGTTGGCGTATCGAGTTTTGCCGATCTGGGCTCGCGCTTTTTTCGTTATGGACAGTATCAAGTGGCTGAAAGACTCTTCACAATGGCGGCAGCCATTTCTCGCGATAAGGTGACAGGTGTGGCCGAAGAGATTTCTTTTTCCACTGCCCAATGCGGAAGTCAGAAGAGTTTGCAGCGCCTAAAGGGACACCTGTGGGACTGGAAAAAGGCCGCAGAAGCGGCTAATGAAGATCTATCGACACTTCTTTCTGATGCTACCCGGAACACGCATCGGTTCCGAGAAATGCGAGATGCGTGCAGTCAAACAGATTTGGCGGAGCACAGAGTGGCCATGCCGGCCTCACAATTTATCGGGACGAAAAGGGAAATGAAGGGACTTAAAGGGACTCGAAATGGAGAGGAACTGAAAAGACTTGTGGAGTACGTCTTTGATCCAATGAGCGTAGAAGATGGCTTTACCAGGCAATTATTACCAAAAGGTTCCAGGAACACGACTCGTTTGCTCTCTGAGCATTTTACCGGATCGAATCCTTGCCTGGCGCTAAGGGAGTCTATTGATTGCATCACCTCAAGAATTGGCGCCAAAGCTGACTCGATCAACTCCTCAGGCGGTGCTCTTAGAAGGGAGCTGCAAACTCGATAGATGTTTTGCTTTTTTGTTCTTTTTGAAGGGGTTTGCTTCTTATATATTTGTCCTTTGGAGGCCTTGCTCTGTTTCGGGCTTGCCTTTTTTTTTTTGTATTTTCTATGTGGTGCGCTGGGGAAGGCGCTTTTTTTTTGTTTTCTTGTTGCGTTTGATTTTTTTTTTTTTTGCATCCGTTTTTTTTTTTTTTTTTGTCTACAAGAAGATGCCGAAGGTTCACGCAGTTGCGGACGCGCTGGTGATAAATGACGAGAATGACCGCATACTCGAGCTGTGGTTCCGTGCTCGGGCATCGGTGGAGTTTTGTGAGAAGCACTCGCCGTCAGATTTCCTCTTCGTTGCGAATATTGCTGGACAGGAGGATCGAAAGACTCTGGCAGGTGCGCTGAACTATGCGGAGCGTGCCCCGGAGCAAATTGATGTCTGCTTTCTTTGCCGGAAGGTGACCTTATCACTGCCGCTTTTGGAGCTGCTGTGCAACACCTCACACACGGTGCAGTTGTACGCCAGGCCGCCGCAGGAAGAGGCCTTGGACGGAGCTGCACCCACGACTGCGAAGCAGGGGAAAGCAGGAGGAAAGAAGGATCGTGCGAAAAGAGAGGAAGATTTTTTTGTTATTGAAAACGCGGATCAACTCTTCTCTCTGAGCTTCGATCTCATTGAGTTGTTGACACTATCGTCTACGCGTCGCTCCGTGCCTGTACCGCCGGATGCTATGTTACAGGACTGTTTTTTTGAGGTTCGTTGCGGCACTCCGTTTTTGCCGCCAGCCAAGCTAGATAGATATCGTCCGCTGAAGATTGAGGTTCGCTCCGTTCACGATCTTCCCAGAAGTGAGATCTCACAGGACCCTCTCTTTTTGACGGTGAGGTTTGGCGATACCGAGATTCGGTCCCCGGAGCTGTATTTGGAGGCCAATGGCAAGGTGGGATTTTGTCGGGTGATGTTTTTGGGGACCCGGACTCCCTTAGATGTGTACCAAGATGTCTTCTTTCGACGGTTGGAGGTTTCTGTGTTCAAAGGGGCGAGAATTTGCTTGGGAAAGGGGACGGTATTGCTGCGCGCGGCTGTAACCGACCGACAGCGAGAGTTCAGTGAGCTGGTGTATCTACTTCCTAGTCGCACCACCGTCTTTCGGGAGGACAATTGTCTCTCAAAGGGCACGATGGTTTCGCTACGAGTGGATTTTTTTACACCACTTCCGTGTCCAACGCATGTTTTAAGCAATGGCTTACCTGCGCATGGCCACTTCCTCACGCGTGGCATCATACGAATGCCTTACGCAGCGAAGTGGGTGCCTATTGTGTTAGAGGCATTTATCGCCACACTACTTCAGCTTAAAAGGGCGTACAAGGGAAGCAACGTGTATCAATATGAGGTGCCCGCACCAGTGCCGGAGGCAGTACCTGTAAAAGAAAAGAAGAAGGAAAGCGGTAAATCTCCAAGGACTCAGTTGATTTCACCCCCACGTCCACCTTCTCCAACGGCGTTTGATGCCCCATTTAAAATTGTTACACCACCTGGCATTAGTGGTTTTGAAGTTATGGACGACAATTTAAGGATTATTTGCGTAGAGGGTCTGGCCGTGGAGGTTCATCAAATAATTGAGCGACTAAGTTCCGTGGCCGGTCGCAACTCTCAGCTGGAGCTTCTGATGAATGCAGAGCTGTTTGTTCCTGCGCGCGCATATAACTTTTTTCCACCCTTTGTAACACTGCCAAAAACAATGAATGCTGATGCTTTAAAACTGGGGATTGGAAAGGGAACAGATTCTGCTGGGGGAGCAGCATCCACGGCCGTTCACGGAGGTTTCGATTCTGGCGGGGAATTTATGGGTGATGCGGTCGATGTTTCTTATGTGCCTTCATGTGTCTCTTCGAAGGAGCCGAACGAGAGTACAGGAGAGCCGTTTGACTCTGCTGGAGCAGAAGCAGGCGGCACGGGAGGCCGCATTCATCGCATACGCATTGGAGAAACTATTGAATCCCTTGCATCAAAGCAACGCTATCTACTGCGAAGGATGCTGTCTGATGCTTGTGTTAGCTGCTACACAAAGCTTCATGCCTTGTGTGAGTGTTCTTCACTCCGTACTATTTTTGAACGGGATTTGTTTCCTACTGCAGAGGAGCTTATAGCACTGGAGCGATCTTTTGGTCTCACATTGGAGCTCTCTGATGTTTTTGGGAAACAAGAGTTTGTCAGTGTGGCAGTGGAAAAGGATCCTGCTGGTTCTTTAAAATATGCTGCGGCTGACGAATCGGGAGACAGTCATTATTCAACTATTAAACTAAATGCCTTGCGGTGGAATGATGTGGGTAAGATGGTTTCTTTTGAGGCAAGGAAAATAATATTTTCCAAACGTCGGGTTCCTGCATGTGTGCAGCAACGGTATCCGGGTGCGTGTTGGATGCTCACATCAGACACCAACACAACTGTTTTGTGCGCCTTTCCCACTGGTGCCGAACCCAAAGAGACAATTCGCTATCTTGTCGAGGCGCAAGTAGTACGATGTGGAGAAATGCTTTGCCTCTATGCCTTGGCATGCGACTCACTTGCAAAGAGTTGTACGAATTCACATAATGCGGCGTACGAGGCGTATCTTAGAACGTCGCGAAAACAGAAAATGCGTCTCCACTCAAAGAAAGGAGAGGAAAAATTGGCGAATTCTACTGCAAATCGCATCCGGAACGGATCTCTTTGTAGCGAATTCGGCGGTAGCGCTGACAATGATAGTTCGGTGGATTTTCTGTCATTTGAGGTGCCCGCGGTTCCACAGTCTGCCGTTACTGTTAGGCGAGACTTGGTTGATCAAAGCCGACGAACCGTCCAGTTGCGAAAGAAGAAGGCGTCAGGGCCGACAGCTGCCGACTACGAGCTCTGTTGGGAGTTGTACCGGCAGAGGGCCCCCACTGTCCGCCCAAAACCCCCAAGAGGCCCACCAATGCGCTTTTAGGCTTATGAGAAAGAATTGGGGTACGGTTGTTCTTTTTTTTTTTTTAGGTGCTGATGTATGTATATATGTTGTTTATCTGATTTGTTGGCCTTGATGTACAATTGACGGCGCTTATACCGCGCAGCCTTCATCTTCAGTAGACAGTTTTTTCCCTTTGGGGCCGCAGCCCTGTGGCTATGAACAATGGCGGCCGTTGACGTCAAAAAAGAGGGAGATAAAGTGCTGAAGTTTTGAAGAATGAGCCGCAGTCTTTTTTTTTTTTTTTTGTCTTTTTGGTTTGTTTCACTCTCCCTTCTTTCTGCTAATTAGGAAGAGAACTCAAGCAAACAAATCCAGCGGTTATATTGATTAATCAAAAAGGTGCGGGGGAAGGCGATGAAGATTGTACTGAGGTCCATTGTTGGGAGTGAGCAGGTGAGGGAGGTCACGCCGGATACGAATGTAGAGACTGTTAAAAAGTTTCTGGAGGATGAATATAACACGGATAGTTTGCGTTTGTGTTACAATGGCGCTATTCTGGAAAATTCAAAGACAATGACGGAGTTAGGCGTGAAGGAGAATGCGGTTTTTATCATTGCTGGGAACAAGCGAAATAAAAACAAGCCACAGGCGAAGCCAGCGACATCCGCACCTCCGCCGCAAACAAAAACAAATTCTTCTTTTGAGCCCACTTCAGTTGGCCGTGGACAGTGGGAGGGCGCAATAACTGATCCGGCGACAAGTGGAGCGGGAGGTGCGCCTGGTGGAATCGCTGAGTCCCGGCAGGGGGCGGAACCACCTCCTTCGGAAGCAGCACCCTCGCAAGGCCTGGCTTTGCATGGCATTGACCCAACCCTCGTGGACAACATCATTGCCATGGGGTTTGAGGATCGTGAACAGGTGGCTTTGGCGCTACGAGCGGCGTACATGAACCCTGATCGTGCTGTTGAGTTTCTTTGCACCGGGATTCCATCCGATGTTCTGCAGCGGATGAATGAGCCTGCTATCAACCCGTCTGCAAGCTCCGAGCGGATGTCATCGCTAACAGACCGGCTAACGTCGCACATGCGCCAAGATGATAGTGACTCGGCTCTTTACAATGCATTAATGCAAATCCCTCAGTTTGGAGAAATACGCTCGATAGTTCAGGCCAATCCAGAGTCTCTTCCCACCGTCGTACAACAGCTCCGTATACACCACCCGGAGGTCATTGGGTTGATCCAGCAGGATCTAGAAGGGTTTTTGCGGATCATGGGGAATCCTGGCCAGACAGAATTCACAACCAGCACGGGCGGCGGTGTCGATGTCCCCCCTGACTCTGTTTCCATTCCACTGAGGGAAGAGGAACGTGTCGCCGTTCAACGCCTCGTTGAACTGGGTGGAGGTGCTTGGACTGAAGAGGACGCGATTGAGGCTTACCGTGCGTGTGAAGAAAGCGAAGAAGCTGCGGCTCATCTTCTTTTTAGTAACTTCTTTGAATAGCACAATCGATTTTTCTCCAAGGCTCTCTCTCATGGAAAATCAGCAACATCATCATTGAAATAGAAACTGCAGAAAAAAAAAAAAGATGAATAAAAAAAAAGTAACGGATCCAAAGGCGAAAGAGGAGAAAAAAAGAAATTCGTGGACGATGAAATGAAAAAGAATGGGGCTCGGCCATCCTAAGCACTACGAGAATTGAGAGGAGGAGGGGCACCGATTGACAAGGAGATATTACCCGAATTGTTAATGGCACTTGCGTCGATTGCGTTTTTCCAAATATATCTGCTGTTTGTCATTTCTGTGCTACTGAACAGGAAAATTTTTTTTTTTTTTTTTTTTTTGAGCGGGCTTCTTTTTTTTTCTGTTATTTTTACAAGCACACACATTGGTTTCAATTGGCACAGTGATGTCAATTGCGGAGGTTTTATTTAGTGTAGAGGAGAACAAAAAGATCGCATGCTGGCGTGGTTTCATTCCCTCATATTTATATAATGTGTATGTGTATTGACTGCAACACTCTACTACTGGATCCTTTGCGGGTGTGTTTGTGTATGTGTGTATATGTTTGCGTTTTTTTTGTCTCCATGGCATTTTTTTTTTTTTTTTTTGCTGATTTCTTTCTTTGTGCTGTTTTTTTTGTTTTGAGTTTATCGCGTTTTTATCGGTGACATTAACATGATTTTTTTTTTTTATTTTTCTATTTTTTATTTTTTATTTTTTGGTATTCTTTTTGGACAGCGATGGATGTAACTAGCAAGAGCGAAAGTCGGCTAGGCACTCTTTTTTTTCGAAACCTTTTGCGGCGAAGATGCATATATGCAACCGTGGCTTCACTGGAAAGTAGTCCATTTCGACGTACACTTGGCTTGCGGTCGCTGGTGAGCCTTGGCGTTGGGGCGGTTGTTGGAGCTGGCATTTTTGTGATCACCGGCCAGGCTGCGGCTCTTTATGCTGGACCTGCTCTTGCCATTTCTTTTTTATTATGTGTTTTTCCCTGCCTCTTTACAGCTCTATGCTACGGGGAGTTGGCGGCAATGATTCCTGCAGCTGGTAGTGCTTACACTCACACAGCTGTGGCGCTTGGTGAGTTTACCTCGTGGATCGTCGCGGTAGGCCTTACCTTGGAATGCCTGGTATCTGGTTCCGCTGTATCGGTTAGTTGGTCTTCTAGCGTTCAATCTTTTCTTAGGGAGTTCTCTATCGTGTTTCCGCCAGAATTTGGAGGCTCACCGATTGGTGTCTCGGGTAACGGTTTTTTTCTCACTGGTAATTTGTTTAATTTTCCAGCGGTTATGTTAACGTTATTCTGCTCAGTTGTTTTATGTCTAGGGGTCTCTGAGACAGCCACTGTAAACAATGTATTTGTTATTGTCAAGTTCATGGTGCTTGGGAGTTTTTTTGCATACGGAGTTTATTTTGCAGTAACCCATTGGGCCGATTTCAAGTTCAATCTCACCCCTTTTGTACCTCCCAACAATGGTGAGCTTGGCAAATACGGTGTGAGTGGAATTCTTCGTGGTGCCGGCGTTGTTTTTTTTGCAAATGTTGGATTTGATACCATTTTTGCGAGTGCCCAAGAGTGCCGAAATCCCCAGCGTGATCTTCCACGAGGTGTCATATACACGTTGTTAATATGTTCTGCTCTTTATTTCCTTGTGACTCTTGCGCTGACGGGAATGGTGAAATACACCTCCTTGAACGTTGACGCACCTGTCATTATGGCCCTTCGCGAGGTGGGAGCACCGCCATTTCTGCGAATTCTTGTCGACATTGGCACAATATCGGGTCTTAGCTCAGTTTGTTTTGCCTGCCACTTTGCGATGCCTCGCCTTGTCATGGCATTAGCTAAAGACGGACTTTTGCCACCTGTATTGTCCTGTGTGCATCCTCGACTGAAAACCCCTGTGAATGCTACATTATTTTGTGGTGTAGCCGGTGCTCTCATTGGCGGACTATTCCCGCTGGAAATGCTTGGCGAGATTATTTCGCTTGGTACACTTGTGGCTTTCACTATTGTGTGTGTCTCCATGTGGAAAATTCGAATTGATTTTCCGGACTTTCCGAGGCCGTTTGTTGCCCCATTTTTTCCTTTTGTTCCTCTTCTTGGGGTTACGTTCAATTCTTTACAAATGTTTTTCTTGCCGCTGGTAGCGTGGCGCAACTATATCGTAGTTGTGGTAATTTCCTTATCCTGGTACCTCTTCTACGGGATCCGACACAGCAAACTGCACACACTGGACCCCTCTTCTTGGCGCGGTTTTGTTTACACCGAGAGCGGTACCGCACCGCATTCATCTAAGGAGGAGGGACGAATGGAAGAGGCTTGCTCGCTTGAACTTCCCATGGAGATGGCGGGGCGAAGACGAACCTCCTTTTTGTCGGTATAAATTTCTGGAAACATATCTTGGAGGTGAAACAGGAGGGAAATGCAATACAATTTAATATGTGAATATCCAGACGTTCCTTTTTATTTGCTATGACTGTTCTGTTCTTGCTTCTGCCGTTTGTGCGTTTTCACCTGGCCCCAGGCAATAGGTTGGATCCAACCGGATTGTGGCAGACGTGCGTTTATTTATGTTCTGCATTTCTCTTCAGTGAATCTCCTCTTGAGAAGATGGGAAGAAACATGGCAGGCAAAAGGGAGCAAGTATGAGTGAGTAAGTGAACAAGTTATATTGAAGACGCTTATTATTATTATTATTATTATTATTATTATTGTTATATATATATATATTGTTACTATTATTTTAACGTCCCCACGACATGAAGAAATTGGCGTCCATAACCATCAATTTTATTTTTTTTCCCCTTGATCTTCTCTTTATTTGTCGCATTCTTCTTGAAGGTACCGCAAGGATACATAAATATATTTAATAAATTTATTTTAGATATATATATATCTACAAAGTTCCACCTCTTGTTTACCGAGTGAAAAATACAACAGATAAAGATGATTTACTCTGGCGAGATAGAGAATGGCCAGATGCATGGTCGTGGGTGCCTTCAATACCCGAATAATGAGACTTACGATGGTGAATGGGTTTTTGGTAAGCGCCACGGTCATGGAGTATACACATACGTTGATGGTAGCCGCTATGATGGAGAATGGGTGGAGGACAGAGTGCATGGAAGGGGAACATGCTACTATGCCAGCGGAAACAAATACACCGGAGATTGGGCTTTTGGTCGCATCAATGGCCGAGGTGTCCTGGAATATCACGATGGGGATCGCTACGAGGGGGACTGGAAGGATGGACGCATGCATGGCAAAGGCGCCTACTGTTACTCGAATGGTGACAGATACGACGGCGAATGGAAAGATGACAAACGCCACGGTAAAGGTGTTGTTGTTTACGCAGCTGCCGATGGTTCTGTTTCTGAGAAATATGACGGTGAATGGATGGATGGCCGCATGCAGGGATGGGGAAAATACTTTTACGCGGATGGTGGCGTTTATGAGGGTGAATGGAATGACGGAAGAATGCATGGAAGAGGAACATACGTCTTTCCAAATGGCAACAGATATGAAGGTGAATGGGTGAAGACAGAAAAC